TATTCTGTAATCCGTGCTGTGCTATGTTCATTATTTTGAACATAAGTCTAATATTCGATCTCGTTTAGCTGCCGTTGGTCTCCATAGACTCTTGAAAGAAATATCTGAAACAACAATGTAAATGCAAAACACAGAAAAGTGGTGTAAATGAACCAAACGAATTTTATACGCGCAAAAACAAGTTCACGCTGTACTTTAAATGTTTTTAAAATGTTTTCACTCTCATGATTTGATCAGTTTGTGTTTTTTTCTCTTGATTTATTAATGGATTTATTTATTTATGTGGCCACTCAAAATGGGGGCTGTGTGAACTCTGTGTTCACTCGGTTTGACATGTCGAACTCATTTTATCAAATAATGAGCTGAATTGTTACATTTGTCGAGCAGAAGGCCACAATTTGAATTTGGAGTGATTAGCTGAGGGTGCCGGTTTTGCGAGCAGCACATTGGCCACTTAATGATAATTTGCCCTGACCAACTGGAAATCCGTTAATTCAAAATAAATACAACCGCAAACTGCCCAGATACTGCTAACATGCACATGAAGGAATTTTAAAGCCAGTTAATCTGTGTACCTGCTGACAGGAATGTTAATGACGGCTGAATCAACAGACACCAAAAGTAAAAGTGTGCTTTTGAGCGAGTTGTATTTGCTAAAATATGTCGTGCAATCCCATATTATCACCCTGTTCGAAGATGTTGCACATGTTGTAACTTCTTCATCCAGAGTGATGTGCGAATCCCTCGTGGAATCTCAGCGTTGGCCTGCCGTGAAAGCTCTGTGTTAAACCCTAGTACAAACAAAGTATCGCTCTGGCTTTGATCCACAAGGACCTTGCGCTCCGTCTCCCCTCGGTCCTGTGCGGTCAAGGAGGCAGAGAAGTGGCTCAGAGGGACAGGCTGCATTAAGAGAAACAGAAGAAGGAGGAAGCCCCATTCTCTCACTCCATCACACGTCTCATCTCTTTAGTCGTCTGGCTGGGGCCTAAAGTGACTTTGCCGTGATGTGACCAGGACAAACCGGGTGTGATGCCATGACGGCTCTGCTAAGCGTGTGAACGTGGGTGTTTTTAGTTCTTGCATGTGTATTGTGTATTTAGGGGCAGGGACTGAATGTGTGTGCGTGTTTTGAGGGGAACGGTGCTTTTGATTTTGTATGTGCGCGTGTGTGTGTGTGTGAAGAAAGGAGGGGTTAAGGAGGACAGTCACTTTTGATTTGGCCTCAGAAGGGTGACAGGGACTTGGAGCTCCAGTGGCATGCTTTACTGAAACAATCTTCTCTGACCTCAAACAGGCGCACACAGACTGTCAGCCTGCCTCCTGATGACTTGTTCCTTGCTTCTTTTTCATTATTTATTTTTCACTTTTGCAGTGAAATTTCATAGAAGGATGAAAAGCTTTTTCTTCCTGCTGTGTGACATCCTGAAAGCAGGCTTTAGTTTCTGTAGCCTTGGTGAGACTGCTAATGCTTTGGATGAGACGCAAAAGTCTCTGGCTCGCTCTCTGTATGGCTGATTGTTTGACAAGTTCATTTTACCTTGCCTTCCATTCTTGCATCAGATATATACAGTATATTTGAAAAAAGTAATGATTTAATATAACTGCAGGCTGTACTCATATTGTAGAAGGGATGGGTTTTGGTCTTGGTGATTCTGGGGTAAAAAGTCGGAGACCTTTGAGGAAGAGAGAAGCTACTATGAACACGATGTTTATGTGTAGCTCAGGATTGGTTCCTCTGGAAAAGGAGTCTTTGACTGGAGGGATTTGGACATGCTGAAATTAAACAAGCCAATTAGGCAAGCAAAGAGTTTAGAGGTCAAAGCGCTCTCCATTAAAGCTGCTTTTCTCTACCTAACGACTAACTCAGTATGTCTCGAGTCTGTTGAGGCAATAAATCTGATTATACCTCTCCCTTTCTTTCTCTTTTTCTCTCAGTCACTGCTGTTTGGGGTTTTTTCTTGTTTTACACTCCACTGGTTGCTGCTTTTGGTAAATCTAAGGCATCATTTAACATGTTTTGGGGTGCAATTCTAGCTGCGCGCTCACATTACGTTCAACCAAACTCAATGACACCTTTTTTGTACCTGGTCTATTGTATCAGAGCACTACCACAGGGCCATTATCATTAGATCTATGGACACCCATCACAGCAGAATATGAAAAGTCGCAACTATACGCTGATAAGGATTGTAAGCTGTATTTAAAATAAGTCAGATCAAATTACAATCACATTTTTTTCCCCCTCATCTCGTGGTGCGTAGCACTGATGCACGATATCTGTGTCAGACGTTTCTGACTTCTCTGAGTTATAGATGTGCAATGAATTTTGTTACAAACTGATTCCTGCACAGGCTGTAACTAATGGTTGTTTTCATCACCTGCTAATCTGCCGGCTTTTTCAACTTAGACGTTAATCCCTCTCTCTACACACCATTAAATAATAATGAACATTCCTATAGTGCAATTTTAGAAAGTCCAAGGTGATTCTTAAGATGTCCTTTGTCCAACTTTGATTTTAAAACCCAAAGAAATTTTGGTTAGTGTGACAAAGAAACACATTTTTTTTAATTTCTTTTCCTTTTTTTTCATGTTACTCATTCAGTCGAGAGCTCATCTTTGTAACACAGACGGAAACAGAGAGCTGGCTGATCCTAAATGTGTGAGCGAAGACGTTATTGCTCCACCTAATGACATGATATAGCTGACTTCCTCTAAACTACCAACAAATCTATGTCTGAAATGGTGCTGACCGCTGCTGAACGGTGTGTGTGTGCTGTACAGTGACCCTTTATTTCTCCATCCATGTTGGTTGGGAGAAAAAAACGCCAGGCACAGAAACCACAGGAATATATCTCAGTGAATAAATGACTCCTTTTGTGTTTTATCTGGCTCTGAGAGCAAGTCTATCTTATAGACTTGTCTATACAATTGGATGTGCCAGTGGCCCTGAGAGAAGAAGAACAGAGGGATGAGGAGCAGAACAGCTATGTCTTTAAAGCTGCTCGGTTTGTCCTCAGAGGTGAGAGGTGAAGACTCTCAATACCTCTATCAGAGCAATGCAGAAAGGAAAAAATATTTCAAGGTTAAACTGCCAATAGATTTTTTCTGAGAAATGTGTGAGCTGGTGGATAAAAGCATTGCGTCAAAACGTACCTTTTGAGACTTTGAGGGACACTGTTATTCTACCTTCACATCCAACTTTCCTCCTCCTCGCAGTTTTTTTCTCTCTCTGACGAACACCAATCACAGCGAAAGGTTTTGAGCGTGCTTTGCATTGATTGTTTTTTTTTTCTACTTGTGCAAGGCAGGCTTCACTAGTTGTCACCATCACTCCATCCACTTGTCCACTGCTGTTCATAGGAGGTGTGTTTGTCCAAGTGGACGTGGGAGACACTGTGGATTTATCTGATCTTACAAGCCATCAGGTTGAGCAGAGCTTTGCTAAACATGACCTGAAGTGTGCCGGCCCCCGAGCAAACGCTGCTGTCACCTTGGCCAACCCGAGCTGTCATCTCTTAGAATGTCCCATGAGAGTTGACAGCTGTGGCGTTCCCAAAACAAATCACTGCTGCGTTTGGTAACACTCTGCGTCCCCACGATTTAGCCCTCACCGAGACAAGAGCAGGAGCGGCGGCTGCTAATGCTCTGGCTAATGTACTGCCTGCATGTGTGGGTCTTCTTCTTCCTCTCTCTCCCTCTCTCTGTGTGCATGTACATGTTTGTATTTGAAAAATCTTAATGTGGTTTCTCTTTGTTTTCCTGCCACCTTCTTCCCTGGTTCAACATAACGATGTTCACGTCTCCCTTTGTCTCCTTCTTCACTCCCCTCGCTATGGCCTTTTCCTGCAGCGCTTCTGCAGTGTTTGAGCTCACAGTACATCTTATGTGTCACCTAACCTGTGCACAGCAGGCTATACTGTTTCATCTACATTCAAAGGAAAAAATGATAAAAAAAACCAAAAAAACCCCCAAAAAGACAAATCAGAAATTGTTATTTGTGTGGCTAAAAGTAGAATCTCTCTTATGAGATAAGAGATTGTAAACATTCAAGTCGTGAGCTTTTTTATGGGATTTAATTTGCAAGAATAACAATAAAATATGACAGTCTTCCTGTTGTACCACCATGAAAGTTAGATCTTTGTTCCCTGACAGTCAAGCCACTCCACAATTTGTCATTAAGGGTCCTTTCTTTGTAGTTAAAGAAAAAAAAAAAAAACCTCAGTGTTCGCAAACCTTGACTGAACCGTGCAAGATCACAAACACTGAGGTGAAGGTTCAAGAGTGGATTTCTGTCTTAACTAGACAGCTGATTGAATATTCATAGTCAAAGGGAAACGAGAAAAAAAATAAAAATAAAACAAATAGGAACCGAGGCTGTGTTTATTGATATATGTAATGGTGAAGTGGTCCGTACTAAATGAGTCTGTTTGCTCCCTCAACAACTGTTTTGTGAAAGTGTTACACTTTTTAACTGACATTTTTAATGAGCTTACACATGCTCTCTCTCTCTCACACACAAACTCACACACACACTCACTCACACACACACACACACACACACACACTCGCAGCCACACACACTCCCACACACACATAAATGTACCTGTCAGACACGGTTTAAACACAGAGAATTTTGACTATTTGTTACTGGGCTGTTTTTAGACATCAAACTACGGCATTTGAGATGTGGTTTCCATTGATGTCAGGTTTTTTTGTTTTTTTTTATGTCACAGTCATTACTGATATATCCTTACCCTGGCTCATCTATAAAAGAGTGGTTCAGTTAAATTCAATTTTTTTCTCCCCTCGTTACATGAAAATTAAATAAGGTTTGCAAAAGTGGATTAGATTCTATTGCTGCTATATATACATATTTATCTATTTCTCTGCATTGCAGAAACCAGACGTCCGTACTGTACATTTGAAATAGTACACTTAAAATATTTTGATATGTTTTGCAGATTTAGTTGACTGATTGCACGTCGTCTTTAATTTTCCAGCAGATGTTTGGAGGAGAGGCTTTTGTTCAGCTACACAGATGAACAACAGGAAGGAGGACATGGAGATCTCGTCTCACTACCGTCAGCTCCTCAGAGAGCTCAATGAGCAGAGGCAGCATGGCATCCTTTGCGATGCCTGTGTCATTGTGGACGGAAAGATCTTCAAAGCTCATAAGAATGTCCTCCTGGGATCGTCACGCTACTTTAAGACTCTTTACTGCCAGGTAAGAGACCTCGTTGGGGCAAAAAAAATGATCTTTTACAGATATTTTTCCTTTATAGCATGAGGTAAATATTTTTTTAAACCACTGCTGTTAATACTCCTTCTTATAACCTTCCAGGTTAAAAAGGGGGCAGAGCCTCACCACCAGACTACTGTCACTCATCTGGATATTGTCACAGCAACAGGCTTCAAAGCCATCCTGGACTTCATGTACTCGGCGCACCTTGCTCTCACCAGTAAGAATGTGATTGAGGTCATGTCAGCTGCCAGCTACCTGCAGATGACAGATATTGTCCAGGCTTGCCACAGCTTCATCAAGGCTGCACTAGACATCAGCATCCGCTCAGAGATGGCTGATGAGCTGGCCGATTTTGAAATGGGCGCTGTGGCTGCCGCTGGCCTAGGTGGAGGCGGGGGCGCTGGAGGTGGTGGAGGAGGAGCTGGTCTACCAGGGGCAGGGGGTGTTGCAGGAGCTGGTTTAGGAGGCGGAGGGGGCATAGTGGGCATGGCGTCTGAAGCCCTTGCTTCCATCATGTCTGGTCGCAGCACCTCTCCTTGGCTGGCTCGCCGGACCAGCCCGGCCAACTCTTCTGGGGACTCAGCCATCGCCAGCTGCCATGAGGGTGGCAGCACGTATGGAAAGGAGGACCAAGAACCACCGAAGAGCCATGAGAGCCAGGAAGAAGCCTGCCATGACTCTCAGCCTGCATGGCCTCACGACTATCGGCCTGGCATCACTGTCAAAGAGGAACAGGTATCCCCTGCCTCCTCCTCTCATCCCCGGGACACTCCCAGGGGGGCAGCCCAAAGCCAGGCGGAGCAAGGGACTGGGGGACCTGGTGGAGGAGGTGGAGAAGGGCCCTGGCAACCTCTGTCAGGATCAGGGCGAAGGAAGAACAGGAAGAACAAGGACACAGTCAGACATATTACCCAGCAGGCTGAGAGGAACTGGGACCGCGAGCGGGACAGAGAGAGAGAAAGAGACAGTAGGCCTGGATCTCCTCTGCCCTCCATGCTGGCTGTAGCTGGATGGAACTACAACGGGCAGGATATCCCAGGTAGGACCGACAAGCTTAGAACACTTTCTCCTATTTGTGGAAAGTTTAAAAGCAGTAATAGTGAAAACAAACCGGGTGTCTTTAGGTCAGAAATGTGGTCTTTAGATTATCAGGTCAACAGAACAGCAGCAGATGGAATTAAATTGGACAGGCTCTCAAAACTGGTAGGATGGAGGGAGGCCAAAGAAAGCCCTTTGTGGTGCTGATTTGATGACTTTGAGGCTTTAGGGTGTCCTGGAGTTGCTAGAGTTTTACAATGCTGGTCCCTACTTAGTTAGTTATCCAGTCATGTAATTAGTGATTACTGGTGAGATAATAAGATCAGGTTATTTAATTGGGTGAGAGTGTCACCTAACACCTAACTGTAGCAAAATCTAATTTATCTTTTAAAAGCCATCTTCTAACCAACAGACCAGTAGATGTGTTGGAGCAATTAAATTGCTTTGTTGACTTTATGTGCATTAGAGTGTGCATGACACTTTACAATACGGTGCATTAGTGCCTAATACTTTCATTCCTGCATGCGTATTTCAATGCATGTCAGCTATCCACAGTTTACTAGTATAAAATGACCTCTTTTCCTCCTCCGGGGTTGAGATTAGCGAGCTTATACACTAACGTGTTAGGCCTAAGATGATTATCTCAAATCTTGGAGGTGTGAGGTGAAGCCTGGGTAAATGCAGATGGATAATGAAATCCTCTCCTTACTGCAGTTTATGTAAGCCACACTCCCACATAAACAAGCAAATGCATATGCAAACACACTCATGAACACATATTTATTTTGAGAAAGCCTGTCTTGATCCTCGGCCTTGTGTGTTTAGTGAATTCCTTTAGACTAAAACTTATACATGAAAAACTTACCTGTCTGTGTGTGTGTGTGTGTGTTCGTTCACCTCTGTGTGAGTGTGAGCGTGTGTGTGTGTCTATGTGAAGCCCAAGGCGTCGATAGGTAGATCATTAAAAGTAAGGGAAGCTAATCCTGGGCGCATTAAGGGAGTTGGCTGTGAAATGGGCACACGCGTCGCGCAGCGAAAGAAAACAGGATAATTGAATTGACCTGGGTCACTGCACGGATTACCAGCGCGTCCTCGCCATCCCAAGCTCCTCCCCTCTCTCTGGGGTTTAGGGAAGGACCTTCTGGAAAGGGCGAGAGGAGGGAAAAGGAAGAGAGAGTGGCAGATGAGAGGGGTAATGAGAAGGAAAAACGACAGAGACAAAAAGAAACGCACGGTGGAGAGTGCATCGTACCGGGCTTACGAGAGTTAGGCTGTGCATCTCAAAGTCTTCTAAGCAAGGTTATTGGGGTTACTAAAGCTAAAACCGGGAGTGGATATGAAAAACAAAAAAATGTTTTCACAAACTGAAATGGAAATTAAAAATTATACTTCAGAAAGAAGAAGTTTAAGTTAAAGAAAGATTGAATTTGATCAAAAGCATGAGGAGACAGAATTCTTCTTAATTTCTTGCCCTTGGTAAACAACCGCATGTTATAATAAAAAAAGGCCTTTAAAACTAATTAAACCCACTTTGGAAATCAACAAAAAGTAAACTGATTAAATTAATAAAAATGTCCCAGGTCCCTGATTTTGTGATTGTAGTACGGTGCCAGAACCACATGCACTCACAAGCTGAATGGCTCTATTAAGTCCCTTGGCTATAACCATGGTTCTGAGCTGTGGTGGAAAGAAGAGTTTAAGCCTGCCTGTGGTGAAGCAGCCATTAATAAGAAAGGTGTTGTCTCACCTAAAGGTTAGAGGAAGTCTAGTGTTGCTGCTGGTGTAGACTCGCCTGGTGCTCGCCAAAAGGCAACCATTTATCCTCGCTTTCACCCGGGTTTTGGGACTGGGCTCAGCACGGCGAAGAATGGAAGGATTGGGTCTCCTTCAGTTGGATGCCATTTAGCAGTAAAACATCATGTTACCAGTGGGCTTATTTGAGATTTAACAGCGGCAGTTTATATCAGGATGTGTGACACCATATTGTGTATTGAGTCCGTTTGCAGTGGGTGGTGTCTGTGTGCTCAGTAAAAGTTTAGGGGATTGCTGAACAAGTTTAGTGGCCTGATATTAGTCAGGGAGCCTGTACGGGGAGTGGTGAATTGTTTTGGTTGTGGGAGTGCTCCTCTGCTCGTAATGTGTAATGTCCACAAGTTTGTTTGACAAAGTCAGGGTTAAAAATATACAGGATGTCTGTGAGCTTATGAGAGTTAGTGTTCTTAAGTCCTAAGTCCCCCTTAAGTCCAGGATTTTGTCACCTCCAGGCAAAGATCACAATCAGGAGTGAAGCTGTACGGAAATGCCAAAGAATTAGAAAGTGATGCATGATTCTGTTACAGATTTTTCAAATATAATATTAGAAAGCATTACAGCGATGGCAAAGAGTTACGTCTGTTTTATGACAGATTCTTTGCTGCTACTTGACAAATAAAGAGCTTATAATAATGGAACACTAAAAGCTCCCGCTGACACATAAATAATATTAATTTAAAGATGAAAACAAACAGACCCAACAAACGTAAAACACGTACATACGCAGCCTATTGCTGCGATTGTTATCCCTACAAATAGAAAGCCCACGCTGCATTATTTTGATGATGTGACCATGGCAGGTCTGCTACTGTATTCTTTAGGCAATAAAGTCTGTAATTACTGAGTCATTCATTCTTTACTTCATTAGTTTTACTGACGTGTGGGATCGAACGCAGTTTATCCTACTGCCAATTATATAAATCAGAGCGCATTTAATGTTTGCCTGATAAACGATTTTCAAGTTTTCCAAATAGTTGCCTGAGTTCCTGCTGATTGACTTATAGGCTGTTTTTTATTGTTTTTTTGTAGGGATCATTCTGAATGGTCACATCAGTTGAAAAGAAAAAGCATACATGGCAAGTATGCATAATAATGATGATGATTCATTCCATTCACTCTCACAGTAAGCCAAGACACTGCGAGCAGGCGTTAAATCAGTCACGTTGAAATAAAAATGCAGACATAATAAATGTTACTAATACAACAAAGCCTGCTAAATGTGCTTATTGTGAGGTGGTAGGTTAACAGTTTAGAGTTAGTTCGTCAGTGTGGTGAGGGTGTTGTTTCACGAAGTCCAGTTGTTGCTTGTCATAAAGGGTATCCAGGAGAAAGGGCACCTTCAGTCTTAGATTAGCTTAATTGCTTCATTCTTTATTGATGAGAAGTGCCTAGACGCACTCTCTCCCTCACTCCTTCTCTCCCTCTCTCTCTCATTCATTCATCTGTAATCAGTGTCTATGCTTTGCTATTAGAAATGCTTATATGACGCACAACCACGAGGATTTCACTGGATCATTCTCTAATATAAGGATAATGTATAGCTGCGTAAAGGCTCAGTGTATTAGCGTGCATGAAAATGCCATGTGCCCATGTTGACATAAACAGCTGCGGGAATTAGGATTTGTTTTCTTTAGATCCCCTTCCATTGCAAGCATCTGCTCTGTTCACTTGATGTCGTTATTGAGGCCAGTAAGCACTCAGCATCCTTTTCTCTCCCGTGCTAACGCTTGATCTCCGCATTTCTTACGTTCACCTTGTCTGCCGCCACGAATGTTTGAAACATCACACGTGAAGCCAGAAAAGAAACCAGCCGCGCTTACATCTCAGGGAACTGAAACATGTGTATGTTTCTTTTTTACACAACACTATATTAGAGGTGACAATTTTTGAGGAAGAGAGTTTTTAATAGTCTGTACTTCTTTTGCCCGCATACGTCTCAAACCTTTGAATAATTATCCAAGATTATTTTTAGTTTGGCCCCCGCTGCTTCGTCCAGACCTGGATTAGAAAGCTCCAGCAAATCAAAGACACTGTTTTGAATATCAGGAGTCAATTTTTTATTTTTTTTAATCAGTTTAGTATATTCTTCTGTGGGGCCTTGAGTCAGCCTCTCTTTGTGTAATCCACGCAGGGTGTGCAATCAGTTAATCAATTTGATGAATGTGGTAGCTGTGTTTAAAGGAGGTAAAGTTGGTAGTCTGCTAATCTTGGGCCGGTAGCTCAATCCCCGGCTCCTCTAGTCCGCATGTCAAAGTGTCCCTGGGCAAGAAGCTCAACCCCAGCCCTGGGTGCCCTCGATGTGTCAGTGTGTTAGTGGATGCGGCTGTGAGTGGTCCACAAGACTGTAGAGCTGCTACTTAAGTGCAGTTCGTTTGATTAAACAATATTAAATATTTTTTTATTAACCATGAAAGTGAACCTCAAATGTGCATATGAGCGATAATATTCTTGGCAACTCATGAAACGTAAGATTGTGCACACTACACACAATCTCATACAGTATTTATAGATATCGCTAGATATCAGGAAGACGGCTAAGTTGTGACTATATGAGTGTCATTTTGAGACATTATGTGCCGTCTGTGCTCATTTTACTTATTTTATTAAAGTAGGAGTCACTTCTTTGGTTGGTGGATATGACATTTTGGAGGCAGACGTCACCCTTTCTTCTGAACCTGCCCCCTCAGACTGAGAAGAAGCCAGAGCTGCTGAAAACACGAGTTAACGATTGATTGAAAAAAAAAATTCTTGCTGCTTTTATACTTGGGGCAAACACAAACTTGATCTTTATCCCACATAATAACGGCACTGGAAATATTTTTTGCGTGTGTTTTTGCTGGTATTAAAACACACACACACACACACACACACACACAGTGACCTTTAGTGGCAGCTTGGGGGATTTTGGCAATGGCCGGTGTGATATACACGCTCACATACACACAGCTTAGAGCATCTGATTATGTAGACGTGAACAGTTCAATCACACGTGGGCTGTTCTTTCCATTTCCCTCTAGCTGTTGCACATTGATTACATCGAGAATCTTTTTTGAAATCCAACATCTTTATCTGACTCTCTTCCTCTCTGCTCTGTGGCCTCAGAGTTCCCCTCCTAAACCACTTATTCACATTCGCTCACACATATACCCACAAAGATGCACTAAAAAGAGTGAAATCGTTTTTCCATAG